TTTTTCCCCCAACTCTCTTTATTTGTTAATATTTTTTCTCCTGGAAGAAATGATGAAGAGCACAGACCACCTGGTTCAAATCTTGTCTCTATCTGACCAGCTGTGCGACCTTGAGCAAGTTCCTTAACCTTTCTGCACCTCGGTTTCCTCATCTGTAAAATGGGGATAATAACAGGCTCTACCTGGAAGAACTGTTAGGCGATTAGACGATCTAAGGATGTACACAAAGTGCTCATAACTGAGCGTGGCATATAGTAAGAACAAGATAAGCATTAGCTCTTTAGTATTGGTGGTGGTGACGTTGTTCATGATGCGAATTAAGTGGAGAGAGAGATTTCTCCTGTCCTCTGTTTGCTTTATCTATAGCCGTATCATAACGGCCTTAAAGCATTTACTTATGCGATTCCACCACTAATATCATCGTTTCCCAGCTAGTGAGCTCTATGATGGCACCACCCAGCCCCCAGCACGGGCCAGCACAGACAGGCATCCATCTTGGTGCAGGGACAAGTGAGCGGGTGACTTGGTGAACCCATCAGTTGTGTCTCTCTGACTCCAAAGCCAGAGTTCTGGATCCTTCTGCTCCGCTGTCCTGGTTAACCGGCTCTTCCTCACCCTCCCCACCTCCCGGGCTCCCTGGCTGCCCCTCCGAGCCGCCAAACCCCACTCTGCCTGGGCCCGCTGCCCCGGCCCCTCACCTTTCTGCACCTTGTCACACAGCAAGTAGAGCTCCTCGCCGCCCGTGCACGGCCCACTCTCCTTATTGATTCGGCAAATCCGCAGCTCTGACGTGTTTGTGGACTCTGGGAAGGAGCGAGACAAGAGGTATACAAGAAGAAATGAGAATTCGGTCACCAAATCTTTATCAGGCAGCCAGTGGGTGCCCACCCCGGGCTACGGAGAGGTGGGGAATGCAGAAGGCAGGGCACCCAATCCTCCTGGAACCTACGGTCCAGGTGGAGAAAGACGACATTCAGAAAGGAGGGCTAATAGACAATGGCCAGTCCTCCATGCTGAGGTATGGTGAGTGTCTATCCAAAAAAAAAAAACCTTCAGACCTCTGGGAAAGTTGATGGGGTCAAGGGTCACAGAAAGTTCCAGAGGAGGGTTAATGTTCTAAAATTTTATAGTGGGCACCTGCTGATTTGCCTATCTAGCAGTTCTGGCTGTTCTTCTGTTTATAGCCCCCCAATTTTCCTTTGAGGGAACACCCTTCATCTCAGTCATGGGGATTGGGTAGGGCTGGACCCATTTCCTATCTCAGCAGTAATCATGTGCCCCAGACAGGGCCAATCAGAGTGATCATATGCCCCTCCCTCTGGCCACAGCTGATTGGTTGGAGAGGAGCAAATGACCAAAACCAGGCCAACCAGAGACAGCCCTGAAACTTTGAGCAAAAATATTGGGTAAAAGAAGCTAAATGAAGCTTTGGGAGTTGGGGAGAGGTGCCGAGTGGGTAGGATATGAGCCTAGAGCTACACACAGCCATGGGAGGGCCCTGCCAAGAATGACTCTAACAAGGAGAAGCACAGCTGAGAGACAGAAAGAGATCCCTAATGACATGACTGAGGTCCTGGATACAGCCAGACCTGAAGCACTGTGCTACCTCTGGACTTTCTTAATCAATGAAACAAATCTTTTTTTTCCTTAGCCCACTTGAGTTAGAATTCCATCACCTACATCCATAAAAGCCCTGACTGAATTAATATTCCTCCCATCTCATGCTTATTCAGTCAATATAGGGTGCCCGAAACCTAACAGCTATTCCCAATCCCCTCTTCCATGCCTGTACCCCTCTGCAGAGGTTGAAAATCTAAACACTCACTTTCCCAGGCTATCCTGCAACCAGCAGTGGCCATGGGACCAAGTTCTGGCCAATTAGACATAAGCACGAGTCTACCAGGGGCATTCTGGGGAATATAGTATGTCCTCTATAAAAGAGAGAAATTTACCATGTTGCCTCTTCTCTAGGGCTGCCTGGTATAGTTGCAAAAGTTGTGCATTCTACAGGAGGAGGCCCCATTTTCATAGGCTGTATAGTAAAAGCGAATGCCTGGAAATTAGCAGTGTATAACCTGAATAACCATACAGGGTTACACTGCCCATCCCACGCCTTGAACGCTGACATGATGTCTGGAGCTGTGGCAGTCATCTCATGACCATGAGGGAGAGATCAAGAGGATCACAGAGGTGCAGAACCAGTGCCCCGATCTTGCTGAGCAGCTGAATCAACATGAGCAGACTTAATAATAAGTGAGACAAATAAAAATAAATGAAGCCCTGTTTGTTCAGGGACTGTAGGGGGAATTTCTGATACCTGCAGCCAAGGACAATCCTAATGGACACAGCACCGTCAACTCACTTTTGTCATAGACGGGCTCGGAGAGCACAGGGTCCATCCGGCACATCTGTCCCTGCTGGTCCCGGTACGAGGCCTGGAAGCAGATCCTCACGACGTTCATGTCCACCTCCTGATGGTTCTTCAGGGACCCAGCTGTGGGGGAGACATGGGAAGGCTGAGGGTTGGCGGGTGCAGACCCTGTCGGGGGACCGGGGAA